ATTGTATAAAATAATCAACACGTTTATGCATTTAAAACGCGTTCGTACAACGTTGTTTTATTTCGTTTACTGGAAAGTTTATGACGCCAATAATATTGATGCGTGTACCTTCTACTCGTACCTTCATCGAGTATGGTTGATATGCAACGATGTCAACGGGAGCAACGTGTCCGACGTCTTGTCCTGGTTCATGTAGGGCGGAATGTTACCCAGACACTCTGTATGGCTCAGGACGATACGCCTGGCTTGTTCGGACTACGACAAATAAATAATTAAACGAAATTTTACTAAAACGTAACAGCTTCAACATCGAGAACTATTCAAGAGTTCTGTAATAAATAAATCACAATGTTTATTTTCTTTTGCTCTTGAAATTCGAACGATACGCGATATAAATACTAATTTCTGTAATCTTTGTTACGGTTGTATTCGCTTTGTAATTTATAATTATATTTTAATCGTTTTAATAGGTTGATGTTATCTGAACGCCTTTATTTTACTTCGTTTTATTTTGTTTAATTGGGATTTATCATAAATGAACGATAAATATATGAAAATTAATATTGCAATAAACGAAAATTGATTAAGTGTTTTAAAATCAAAAATAATATTCACGTAATTCCGTTGACTCTTACATACAAATTCTTTCTTTCCGTAATTATTTCTATCATTCTTCGCAGTTTATTCCAATTATTCACTTTTATTTTAATCGAAACATTGTACACAAATATATCTCCTTACTTTTTTTTTCCTTTAATTCATCCGAGTGAATTTATTACTTGAATAAATTTTTTTTGAGTGCATATTCAAACCGCTCAAGTTGTTCGAAATCTTTTGAATATAGAATATAGAGGTCTATACATAGCGAAGTAAATTGTACAAAATACTTCGAATTTTTCGAAGAGACAGAATTTCTCTACGTAGTCATCAGAAACATACATTTAACGTATTCGTACTTATCTGTTAGCGTGACTCGAAGGAACTAGTCGGAGTGAATTATTCAAAGGTAAATAACGATATCATCATTAAAAAAATGTTAAATGTCGCGTGAAATATTCACATTCCGACGCTTTAAAAATTTACGCAATTCTGAGAAAAACTCGGAAAAATTTCAATTATAGAGAAAATGCAAGTGCACTCTACGAATGCGTCGCTGCATTAACGGAAAACGATGTACGAAGTTAAAGCTTTTTATACTATTCAATTTTTTTCCTTCGACAGTTTCTACTATCAAACGGAAAATACCAGAGGTCGAAGAGTCGTAGCATGTTTTCAATAGGTCCTGTTTAAACGGTTTAAATGGAATGATTTTTCTTAAAAAAAGCTCTCACGAGGTTTCAAGATCTAAGAAACATATGACTAAAAGTTGTTGAAAATATAAACTATAGTTTGAATAGGGTTTTTCAAATATTCACGTGTAACAGGAATAAACATTTCATCTATCGATATGAAAGAAGTTCTCAGTTTGATCACTTTTATTATTCGATATCATAAAATAAAATTTGTATGTATACACTACAGATATAGTGAAATAGTTTTATTTATAATATAATATAATGAAACAGTAAAATTTACAAGTAAGCAATTAGGTATGTGTACATATTTACTCTTTTCACTTATCGGCGAAAGAGAACCGGATAACCTCAAGGTAAAAACATCCATCGAAGATGAGTGGAATATTCGAAGCGACGCTGTCGTTTGAGAATCGAAATTCGAATTTAACCGTTCCTTTCGATCCCTGAAAGATTCAGCTCGGTCTGAATTGCGCGGATCATCCTGTATCTTTATTTTTGAGCGCGCGCGCTCGTCAAAGATTTCGTTCTCTGAATCATTTGATCGTTTCTTATTAGTTTCCAGCCACGAATTCTTCGAAGAACATCGACGCATCGCAAGAGAAACGAAATGGTCGCCACGAATTCGAGCTTTATTATAAAGGAACGAGTAGCGATTTGAACCGGATGTACGATTTCTATTCGGTTCGTCAGAACCTATTAATTGTACTAAAAGAAAAGTTTTGTCCCTATTGTCCAGTTATCAGAAGTATAACTCGAGAAGCGTTTCTTTCTTTTTCCATTACACACACCTCTCGATACGTCTCATGTTACTCAACGATTGATTAATTTTATTTATTCTGTTTGCTATGTTAGATGGGCCCGCGATTGTCCGCGTCAACATATTTGTTCGAAGTATCTCAAAAATAGATGACGTTACTATGGTAAGTTAAAAATATAATGCCCCGAAATCACAGACACACGCCTACACATACTGAGTGTTCGTTACCGTACAATCTGTATGTATTATAAATACAGAGTAATCTTTTAGAGCAGAAAATGCGATCGGTTAGCTATAGTCTCCCCGAAGCAGAGAATAAAGAAACAAGAAAAGTAACGTACTAACAAGATTGAAAATCGTTATGCAACGCGGGTGTTACACAAAAATGTTCACGCGATTATCAAAAGTAGAGTTCCTTCGAACGAGCACCGCGTAGATTCTTTCTTTTAGAGAGATATATCTATCGTCGATCTTTCGTGCGATTGGCGCGTTCACTTTTTCGAACGACGTTGCAAACTGTTCCATCGGTTTTAGAGTTAGAAATTGTCCACGAATCGGTACATATTGTACTTTTCGCTTGACAAAGCACTCTAAAAGAAATGGAAAGGAAGGAAATATTTTGAAAAAAATCGCCGGAGCATTCTGTACGAACTCGAATAGTATGTGAATAGACATTGAACGTTTAGTTCTAGTAAACAGCAAATAAGTGATCGAATAGTATCCAAAGAATCGTATCTAGACGTGCAATGGATATCATATACTATGTGGTTGTATGATAATACATACACATTAACCAATGTATTATATATACACACACTCATGTTTATTGTTAATTCGCTACTATAGTATTCTATAATGCTGTTCTTTGTCTCACGATATATACAGAAGAACACACACGTACAAATTTTCTCTTTATCTCTTTGTGTTGTTTTTTCCCTTTTGTAACAGGCTCTCGTGCGTATTTAAGGCCCACTATCGTAACTTTTTTAATTACATTCCTACCGTATGTTATATTCAGCAAGCATATGTTTTGTATGCCTAAGAAGAAACTTTGGATGTTACGAACAGCACCACGTTTTTGCTTCGTTTTGAGAAAAAACATAAATGACAGAATTATTCGTTCGACATGAATCTAAGAAAGTCTGTATGACTATAATTGTTCCAGAAATACAGTGTAGTTTGCGTGTTAAACTTTGATCTTGATTTGAAACCCCAATTCATGTTTAATTGGCTTCGATTCGAAACTAAATTTTCTCTACAAAATCAGAGATATGAAAAATTTTATTCGAAGGATAGCAGGAAATTCTTCATGAAATTCAGAATAGGGCGAATAGAATGAAAATTAACGCACAGAGATATGTAAAATCAAGTAACAGATATATCTATGTTCTTGTTAACAAAATCTTGATAAGTCGCTAATAAAACGTGGGGGTATTTTACTCAAAAGTTGTCAATTTTCAGGAATTCTTTTCGATATTTTTCTTTGCATCCATGAGGAATTCTCTTACGCGATCACGCATATATCTTGATTCATATTTTACGAATATACACGATTTATTTCGATTGATAATAATCAACATCGAACGTAATGCGAGTGATCTTGTACAGTCCTTATTGAAAAATAGTATTTTCCATTTGAAATACGGTAACAAAGAGATAAAAATTTGTATGTTGCGCGAAAATTGTTGTTTCGTCATCTGCTATAAGTTTTTTACCCAGCACTTGAAAAAAAGAACATATTGCTCTAAAATGACACACCCGAGTGTATATGTAAGATAAATACATGTAATAATATGTTGAAAATTCAAGTAAAAATACGAGGGCTAAAGTGCTGCTTTCGATCTAACCTCGAGTCCGTTTGTAAGCTGAAATTACTGTAAGCGCTTGGTACTGCATCGAAACGAATCACAGAACGTCGTGCTGGCCGTAATCGTAAAACCACATCACATATTGTCGCCTCACGCTATTGTGTCGTAGTTGATTTAATGGAATTTTCTCGTTTTTTATCATACTTTTACTACATTTACATGTGAACCATTAAGGTGATCAAAGGTTTTTCGCCTCGTGGCTGAACGCAACCACACGTACCAAGGTACTCGCACACTATATTACAAATTCTTGTTCGTTTCTATCCTCTTTATCGTTTACTGCACACAGAGACCAACACACACACACACACACACACACACACCTACCTCCGCACATGAAACACGCAAACGCACACTCAAATGTATTATACAGACTCGGCCGCTAACTTATTCTTTAATCCCTTATTGCATAATCAATTATGTGCGGTATGTCTCTTCCGTGCTGCTATATATATTACACATACATGTATCCAGTCTATGTCAGTATCGCAAAGAGTGTCATCTATTATACAGGGTGGCCCACGTAACTCTTAACAGCTCAATATCTCGGAAACTATACCATCGATTTTAAAGTTCTTGGTCATAAATTGCATGGATCTAAAGGGCCTTTCTAACTACGTAAACGTGAAGTGGCTCCCCCTTCCCCTTTACGGGGGGCGGGGCGAGGGTACCTTTATAATTTTAAATGGAACCCCCTATAAAACGTTACATATTTAGATTATACAGGAAAGAGCAAGTGAATTTTGTTTGAAACATTTTTTTGTTGCACAGATGAATGCACAGATTTTTTCGAAGAACGAACAATACACTCCATGTTTAGCTCTTTGCGGTTTGTATTATCGTCAGCGTTTCGTTCCAGCTGCTCCGCACGCACTTAGCCATTTTCACCTATACAGCTTACCGATATTTTCATACCATGGTATTTAACAAAATGTTTATAATAATATGTATATATATATATATATATATATATATATATATGCAGGAAAAAGTAATTCAACCGGTAACCAGCGCCAATCCAGATAAAATTGATCTCTCGATGAAACGCTATTTTTCCCCTTGATAAAACGTAATGGTTATCCCAGCAAACAGATTTTTTGTTATCGTTCAAGATTTGAGTCAATATTTGTCCATGAACTTGTTAGCTTAAACTCCGTTGCCGAGAGGAATAACAAAAATATTTATTACGAAAATGTTTTAAATCTATAAACACGAATGTATTTATATTTCTGCAATAACGTTGTAGATATTTTTACGAATTTTAGGCTGCCAGCCAAAGTGTTAATGGATTTTTCGGCGCTGGTCACCCATCCCGATCGTGTGTTATCGGGTAAAATTCGTCACCTATCTCTTTCATAGCTAGTATATTTTTTATTGTCGTTTGTAGATATTTCAATCATTGTACAATCATTGTAATTTCTTTTTCTTCGTACCTGAAAAAATTGTTTGCTCGCTAACGCTCTTACTATAACATACCTTTATATTTATTGCACAATGTCTCGTAGGTATTACCGTACATCTTAATAGCTTTACTTTGATCAATTTAGGTTGATACATTTTTCTAAATCTTTCTTTACGTTCGCTTGAGGATCACTCTTTTCGATATATTTGTTTACGTTATGAAGTATATTTACGATTAAATTTATTAAATAAGGAACAAAACTAATCTCCAGCTCACCTGTCGATCGTAACGACGAACAAAATTGAATAGAACAGTAACGAAAGTCATCGCAAGTGCAAAGACATTTATTGATGTCATTCAGACCATAATTTTTCTTATGGAACTTTCACGAAAAAGTTTCATACTTTAGCAAACCCAAATTACTGACATATCGATCAAGTCCGTTGCAATGACAGAAGATCGAATTTTTACGAAAATTTCAAAGACAATACGAAAGATTTGGAATGAATCGATTATACTCGGTAATAAATTGCAAGTAATTAGATTAAACTAAATAATTTTTAAAGGTTTTCACAAAAAAGATTCCTTTTCGTAACGTTCAACAACTACAGCATACCATATAGTCTTCATGCTTTAATTTCGGAAAGTAATCGTCACTCCCCCTTGGTTTTCTACCGACATCACCAATTTTTTATACATACTTTGTTTACAGCAGAAGTTGCGTTAAATTTTTGTAATTACTCCTCGCTCTGATACTCGCGCGAATACACACTGTTTATCCATGGTATATCGTAACTTACTTCTGCGATGGATTAGGGACACGAAAACAATGGAAAAGTTTATATAAACTTGTGCCCTGTTCGACCTTGTTTCCTTACGGAAAGTTTATATAACGAAAATAGAAAACATAATGCTTTCCAATCCATCGATAGAATCCTGTTAATTAACGAACATTGTTGCCAATGTCACGCAGTCGAATAACCACAATTAGAATCCATAATTATCGAGTTAATAAACTATTGAATTAAAGATGCACAACCATACGTTATCTCGAAAATTATTCATTAATATTTGGTTCAAAACTTGCGGATAAATCACGTTTCTGTTAAATCACGTTAAAAACAATACACACAGTGGACCACTTAAAACAGAACATGTGAATATCTTCCTTGGATTTGGAGACACTAAATTAAAATGCTTTCAACAAAATTTAAATTGTGCACGTGTCACCCAATTTCTCAATTTTACAAATACTCTAGCTGCTCCCCATCTTCCAAGTTGGACAACATCTAAAATAAAACAGAACATAACAACTAAAATAAACCATGTATAATCGCTAACAAAGTTTGCTAAACTATTGTACTGCCAGAGAGGACATCGAAATGCTAAAGGTTAAAAGCTTTGATCACACTTCATCGCCGATTGGGACGTAAACATTTTATATCTCGAAATAAAGAGAAATGGACTTGTATTACTTCCCCGACGAACGGCTATATTGCCTGGATACTCAACTGAAATTAAACATCATTCAATATTGTTTGAAATTGGTCGTTGACCTGTTAATTTTCCATCAAGGAAAATAGGCTCCATTACATTATTGGTAATTGTTTCTGTGCGCGTATCTCTATCGGATTGTTCTATAATTTATTTATCAGTACGAACGTTCTGCAAGCATTTCACTCCACTGCAGGTTTACCTTGAATTCAGGTTTTATATTCAACGAGTAAAACGTTTTATGAACGAAAACAAATAAAAACATCGTAGTTGCGAATCAATGAAATTGATTCTAATCAAAAGTTCTTCGTTGAATAGGAAAAATGAAACGGGCTTTTTACTTTGTTCAGAAATGTTATATTCAACGAGTAAAACATTTTATCGAGTCTAATTATTAAAAAGAGAGTAATATTAATATTACTTTCTAATTAATTCAATTAATAATATTATGCTTACAAATTTTAAGCGGAGAAATTGTCTCTTTTTTAGGGTAAGGTCGCATTCCAGGAAGTTTAGAATCCATTGGTTCAGAGTATTTGAGTTTTCTTTCCTTTTCATTCCATTTTCGACAACCGTCGTTTTGGTTGGATGTACTTGGGGTCGAAAACTCCATCTCGCGGGTTTACGAGAGCAATGAAATTCACGTTGCACGGTCCGAGGAGTTTCAACGATTAATTAGCACTCGCATCGCTCACAAAGAGTAACGAAGCGCAGATTTGATTCCGCCGAAAATCAGACGATATCAGTTCTCGATTACTCGATGGATCAATAATTATTTATAACTGAACAAAATTTTAGATCGACAAATTATTTCAATTATACTGTTTAGTACCAAAGTAAGGGAGACTACTGTATCAAAAAGGTCATTTCTCATTCTAACGCAATAATTGATTTTTCGTCGAAGCGCCTCTACGGAATAAAGATTAGTTTTATACGCTACGCGGCAACTGTTTGACCTTTAAATGTCATTACAAATACCGTAAAATGTAATACATATTTCGTCGGTCACGTTATACATTTATACACATACCTGTCTCTGAAATGGTGATACGCTGAATTTGGCATTGCATTTATACGAATTTCTACAATATTGTCCCCATTATAAGGGTATATAAGCTGCGCTAAGTAATTGACCTCAGGATAAAAACTCAGTCGTGATTATACTTCAGATTTTTATGTACTTATAGGAAATTTGAATGCGCAAGAAACTACCAAAGTACCAATTATTAAAGGAAAATAAAAAGCGTGAAATATGAAAAATATATTTGTATCAACTGAATTTTGTCTACACTGTTTGAAATGACACTTGTTTAAAATAAATACCATTATTCTATATTCTATTCTATTCTAAACTACGATTGAATTAAAAAAAAAAAAAAAGTTAATTTAACAAAAAGGCTAAATTACAACGTTTTTTTTCCATAATGGACGGGTGACTACTTAATTTGATCCCTAACTGTAGGTTTTGAGATAGGCCAACATTAATAAAGTTTTTATTTCCGTTCGTGTGCTTTTAATAAATCAAAATACAATTCGGTACTCGCTAATGGTATCGGTAATATTTCTAAACTATTGAAAAATGATGTTTCATTTGATCCGCTGATAATCGGTACCTCTTCACTTACTACAGTTATGTGTAAAATAATTGCTATCCGTAAAAGTGTATGTGCATTAGCATGTCATTTTACAGCAATATTTTCAATATTTTTTAAGAAGTTAGCTGCAATGCTAACGAAGTGTGCAGCGGAGTAATCTTATCCAAAGGATACGGCTTACATCCGGAAGCTTCGGTTAGTTGTCAGAAATTCCAAAGGGTGATAAAACGTAAAAAAAAATGGATACCGAATGAAAATATCTTTTCCGACAACTGTTGCCGAACACTCTGTACATCTACCACAACCTACGGTCACCACCACAAGTTACTCCTCATTTCCAACTTCACTCGTTGCTTGTTTTCAGAGAAGCGTAATCGTCGCAAATGGGTTTATCGTATAAGCAAAAAAAAACCCGTTTTCGCGGGATCGGCGAACCAGCGAAGCGTGCGAGACCAGCCCAGTGACACTTTTCTTATACATTCGCTCAGAAGAATTCAACCCCCCATATCACGATCCCAAGCCTCTCGCCCTCTTCGTTCATAGTTCCTCCATACTAGTCGAAAAACCAGTCACGATTTTACTTACGTCATTTTCAAGTGAAAATAACCCTCTTTTTATGAAAGTATTAAGTTGTCTCAAATGTTTATTTTATTTGATTAGTAAGTAGTACATACGCAATATTTTATGTTTCATGTCGAAGCAATGAACTGTACACGATCCATTTAACTTCATTACTGGTATAACATCAACTTCTAACAGATAAGGTTGTCTCTTTATAAGAAGACTGGCACACAAGACGATTGAGTGCGAGTCACGAAAGAAACTTTTGAGACACCCTAGCATAATAACTGACGATCACGAATACCGTCGTCTGACAGCCAGTCGTTAAAACGACGACGTATTTCGAAAAAAAAAAATGAAGTCACGACATTTTGAAATGGCTGATTTTTTGTATAGTGATGAATTGCATGTTAGCGAATAGGAAAAAAATATTACGAAACATACGAGACGTCAGACGCGCAAAATACTGTAACTTCGTGCACGTCCTTATGTTCCGCAATATTTTTTTCTTATTCGCTAACGTGCAATTAATCACCGTACCAAAAATCAGCCATTTGAACACAATTTCCGTTCTTTCTTCGAAATATGTCGTCGTTGTAACGACTGCCAGACGAAAGTTTCCGTGATCGTCAGTTATACTTTCGTAAAAAGAAAGCTTATTTTCACATGAAAATGACGCAAGTAAAATCGTCGCTGGCTCTCTGGCTGTACCGTGTATCCCGGTTTAACAGTGAAAGGAAAAATGATAAACAAACAAACAACACAGCAAAAAAAAAAAAAAAAGAACTACAAAAAATAAAACTATGCAAATCTCGGTACACGGTAACTGATTTAATTAATCGATTTGTTTTGTTCTGTTCCGGTCGACCTATTAGATCTCCCGACAATTGTGATGGTCAACATCTTTCTCCGATCGATCAGCAAAATAGATGATTATAAGATGGTGAGTGCAATATAAGTAATCATGAACAAGGCCTATATACGATCTGTATATCCACACATTGTGTATATCTATTAACGTCACGTGTATATGATGCCGTAAGACTTGCACTTGTTTGTACTTGTATTTGTATTACGTGTCTATATGTATGTACAGGGTGTCCGGCTTGACTCGAGCGCCTTGAATATATATTCCGTTGCTTTCGATGATACGAAGAAATGTTCGGAGGAGGAAATGGCGAATGTTGCGATTGGCAAATATTTTCCTTAAAATCATCTTTTCCGAAATTTTCAGATTGTCCATCTTTTCTTTTCCTTTTTTTTTTTTTTTTTGTTTTTTTTTTCAAATAGGATTACGCATGTTTGTCGCTGCGGTGTTGTTATCGACGTCAGGATTAGAATAATTAAATGTGGCGATATGACCTTTGAATGACCTTGAACGTGGAAAATCTAGGATCATGCGAACACAAGTGTACGTAATCGTGATAGGTGAGAGAAAATTCTCGAAATGGTGATTGCTAATGCCTGTTCGCGATAAATATGATACGCCAGCAGTTGTATATCTTCTAATTAAATTAACTAATCGCAATTACGTGTACAATTTACGAGGTTTAATCGCATTCACATTTCAATCACATTACAATTAGGTTGCTATCGAATTACGTCATTTAAACTTGACAATTAGCTCGATTGCTGATTACCGTAATCATGTATGTAATTGAATTACAACGTGGTTGAAATGCAACACAATTGAAATGCAGCTCTATATTAAAAATACATAAATAATAACATATTCGTCGTCGATAATTGCATTTTTATATTTGAATTCTACGCGTAAAATTTGATATTCGAATAATTAATATGAGAGACTTTAATGCAGTGGTAGTGTAGTTATACAGGGTGTCCTAAAAGTCGGGGAGGAGCCGGAAATGAGGGGTAGCTGAGACGATTCTGAACAACAATTTCCTTTGCAAAAATGTCGGATGGGGCTTCGTTAAGGAGATATTAAGCGAAAACTCCGACATTTTTGCAAAGGAAATTGTTGTTCAGAATCGTCTCAGCTACCTCCCCCATTTCCGGCTCCTCCCCGACTTTTGGGACACCCTGTATACATACACCTATAGTAACGAAGGATGGTCTAATATTTACTTGGGTGTCCTTTATGTTTGGTGACATGACGTAAACATAGTCATGTTTGGGCATAGTAATAAATAAATATAAAATAAAATTTTTTATATAATCAATGCTGATCTTTTTCCACTTATCTTCGAAACGTTTTTTTTTAAATTCGTTTATCGATGTAATCGATGTTTGGATAATTCGTTCCATACGTGTTCAATAAGATTAAGTTTATAGTAGGACACCAAATTTTAGATATTGATCAAGATCATTCTTTGATTTTTAAAAAAATCGAGTTTTCACTTTAGAGAAAAACTTTCTGCACATTTTCCATAGGGTTCCATGAGGTCTTCAACGAACAAAACTTTCAATCCAAAATCGCCACTTTCGATAATTTTATATTTTGTAAAAATTCTTCATCCAACGACACGCAGTTTCCCATCGCAATAATAGAAATTCATTACAGGACACGTATCTATATTGCATAATATCTCGTATTTGGTAACAGATAGAACAAAATTGTTTAGACGAAAGTTGTACAGTATGAAAACGTCCAGGAAACTGCGAATATAGTTTGTATGCAGCGGGTAGTGGGTAGATTTACGGTGACGTAAGATTACGTCTGACGTTTTTTCGTGCCGTTGAAAGCAATGGAAAGTTTCGAGATGGGTCGTGCCAAAATGGGACACCCCGTGTATACGTACGCGAAACGCTTCGCGTGCATACGTCTAAATGTCTACATTCTCCATTACGCCGCGCTGAACAGTGGATGTGTGCTATCAAGTCGCACCTCGTTGATTTTCTCGATGTCGTTGACTGTCATGTTACTATTCTACATAATCGGCATATGTCTCTCTGTTATGTTACGTTGACTGTACGAACGTTCGATTGACTGTGCGTTGCAACCTCGTCTCTCTGTGCCTTGTTGGAATATCTTTGCCTAGAGAACGGGAAAGAAAAGAGGCGTGACGGATAATTAAACGGATGCAAACAGACTCGACCCGTGAATGCTTTCTTGTTCCAACATTCGTTTGATCATTCCTGCCAGGACCATGCCTGGGGCAGCGATGGAATACAAAGCCCGTAATCTATATCCTTTGCGATAAACGTATGCGTAAATATGGATGAACTCCGCAGCCTTGTGAAAAAGATGATCACCTCGATTATTTTCAGAAAAACCGAGTCGGTGAAATCGTTTTGGAACATTATAGAACTTAAAATGCTAGTTTTAAGTTACGAAGGACGAGGGATGTTCGGCAGCTTCGAAATTCCGATTCTTTGGACACCCTAAGAGAAGCTTTGAGCTCTTTTTATTATCAGCTACAGTAGTTTTTCAAAGTGAAAACACCAGTCGTACACGTTTACCGATTTATTAATTTATATCTTTAATTTAGAGCAAGTATAATCGTTATTGTTGAATTTGTGAACATTTATCATGGTCCTGGTGTCAGGATACGTGTGAAATCACGTCTCGTCAATGTACACGATCTCTCAATTTGCTCGATCTTTATCCATCTCGAAAATATCAAAAGAGTGGCTTGTAAACAAGTAAAGAACTCCTAAATTCACGCAATCAACGTTTATTACGTTATTTTACTCTTGTTTTACAAGTGTCGCAGTCGAATTAATTAAACGTTTCACACCTTGTGCTGGTGTATTAGTTTGTCAAACGAATATTTTTACTCCTCTCGTGTCTTCGAATTTATTATCCTGTCGCCACAGTCGATGTATATCCGTGATAAACGACATATGAACAGCTATATGAAATATAGCAAAATTTCTTCTTAGTTAATTCATTTTTGTGTAATACAAATACAAATACAAATACAAATACAAATACAATTTTTGAATTCAGATAATCCTGCATCGAGATATCATGTTCATCGCTTAGGCTTCTTTCATTTACAGCTGTTGATTGAGTGCCACCTATAAAATGTACTATTTCAGTAACATTAATTAAAAAAAATTGTGCTCTCTAACACTTTGTGATTAAATGTCAGACGCTTTTTTTACTTCGTGTCGTATATTTTTCTCGACAAAAAAAAAAAAAATCGTAAATATCACCTTTCTTTTCACAATTTCGATGATAGGGTTCCTTCAATGCAACTGTTTAGATTGTTTTGAAAGTTAAATCTTTTTCTATATTTTTCCCACAACTGATACGTGGATCAGATCTTTTTTTTTAAAAAAAAAAAAGAGCAAAGAGACGAATTTAACATTTAACATTATTCGACACTTATGTTGAGACTAGTAAACATCGATCCTCATCATTTTACGTAGACAAGCCTCTCTGTTGATAATTTCGATAACATCGTGCGATCTCGACGAACGAAATTCAACGTTTGCTGCCATAACATCGCAAACATGTGGTTGAGTCTGACGGCGATGATGTTAGAATCAACTTCATCGCGCATCCAACGCGTACCGTCGCGTCGGTGGTGTTCTTTTCAAAGGTGATTCGATCGTTTGCCCTCGCTTCTCTAACGTCGTATCGCAGAGCATGATGGAACGGTGACCTGTCGCGTGAACACCTTTTTCTCAACAGCGCGCAGTGGACAAAACTGCCGATCTAGGTGGACAAAAACTCAAAAACGGCCGCTGGGTGTCGGTATAATAGGACTTGGAGAAAACCAGACAACAAGGTGTCATTTGTTATATTTTCATTGGTATTTATTTCAATGGTAACCGTTGCTTGATAATAATCATTTTGAATCCCGAGTACAAGAAAGGTATGTTTCGTTTGCAAACGCGTATTATCTCAGTGGAGTGTTCTTTTGTAATTCTATAAAATGGAACCTACTTTCAGAAACAATGTAGAATATTTAATGCTATTTAAAAATCTTACTTACTCTTCGAACATGCAAATCGTTGTATTTCGGCTGAGAGAGAATATTTTGAATAAACAAAATGATTATGTCAAGATTTTCTAGCTAGTTCTGTTATTTTTAAAGCAATTCCGGTTATTTTTGGGACAGAGGGCTATAACAAACTATTCGAAAATTAGCTATCGACAAGTGCATAACATGCTCTGAATAGAAATGGTACCAAGACATAGAAGTGGCGCTATTGTAATCAAATACATCGCTTTTTTGTCAATATTCCATGTTAAACATGTTTTTATTGACTGAAAACTGGTCAATTTAATGAAAAATATGAATTTATAGGAAGCGCTAGCATAGGTTTTTGTGTAGTTATGCATTGAGCTGCACGGATTAATTTACAACGAGTTATATAGTTTATGCTGAAAAGCAAGTTCTCGTAGTGTTGAATACGAAATCGTTAGTCGGATTATAACTCGGATTATGTCTCGCGAGTTTCACTCATTCTTCTTACTTTACATTGACCATACCAGTAATCGACGAACAACTAAATTACTAAAACGTAACCTATAAGTGAAAGAATTAATTCAGGTTTATGAAAACATCCGTATTATTCGTATTTGATACGAAATTAACGTTAAGTAGAGGAAAATTCTTCATTCAAAGTTTTGTCCAGCTAGATCGATGGATTTGCCTAGTGTGCAACATATCGGCTGCCATCGACGACATTTGATATACTCGAAATTGTAGTTTTTCGTTTTTACTCGAATGTACTATCGAACAATATGTCGACATTGTACGTAATTTAACTTTAGACGCGAAAGCAACCATGAATAGAAACGCGCGTTATTAAACTGTTCGCGTTTCGATCACACTGGCATGCGTCCGGTGTTGGGCAAATTTTGTTTCGAATAACGAACGAATAATAACGAATACATATTCGAACCAGATTTATTCGAATACGATTCGATTTGTTTTTCGAATGATCTTGGCGACGAATGGAACAGCTCGAATGGAAATTTGTTCGAATAAAATTTTATTCGAATCCAATTTCGATGTGTTTCCC